AGCTCAGCTCGGGGACCAGCGTGGGCCGTCGGCTCGGGTGGGAACGGCCGTCCTATCGCCTGTGCACGCGCGCGCCTGCCTGCTGAGGTCGCGAGGATCCTGGGGCAGCGTGTGAAGCTAAAGAAGTAGAAGTCAAATTATTAACATTGCAAAAACCTAGGTTATCCCGCAGCAGTCGGATTTGCAGAAGTGCGGGTCCTGGGCTACCTGCTGGCCACCACAGGAGAGGCTCTGTTGGGAGCTGGGAGGCTGGGGCACGTGGGGACGCCGAGTCACTCGGTGAGCCGGCTTTGCATTCTCCCGCTTTCCTTCGGCCTCTCACTTAAAGCCATTACTGGAGGCTATGTGACGTAAGCAAGTTCCTTGTCTGTGACTCCCGTTACCTCATCGTAAAATGAGAATAAGTAGCCACCTCACAGGGTGGTTGGGAAGACAAGTTAAATTTAAGGAGCTGAAGAGATACTTAGAGCATAGTAGATGCGCAGTAAGTATTAGCTCTTGTGAATACCCTTTTCAATAAGTAGCAAGGTGTCTGCCTTGTCCCCTTTGAGAAAGTTTCTATTTTTTTCGATTATTTCCACTTTTTGACCTTCTGAGTATGAGAAACAATATGGGTTCTGTATTTACACCAGTGCCATTAAGATTCCCACATAAATAAACAAAAAAATGTGTCGACCTAAGAGGAAAAAAAATTGGAACATCGGCACATGGATCTAGCAAATTGATTAAGATGGTACTTTAATGGCTGAAAGTTGGGAAATACTCCCAGAGTTGGTGTTTTAGAATGGAGCAGTGATTAAGTTTAAACTACAGAAAGGATATTAAGTGTGGAAACATTTGATTAGGGCAAAGGAAAAAAAAAATCACACATAAGGCTTACAGGACAATAGGAGAGAGAATTTAGGAGGGATTGAACCTGCCAGAAATGTTGGCGTTAAGAAATAAAGACAGAAGTGTCAAAGACAACATTCGGAGAAAAACCTTAGGGATTTAGTCACCATTATGGGGCCAGACCCCCTAATCCAAAACACAGGGACCCAGAGAAATTTCGAATTGGGGGGACTTTACTAGTGTAGTACACATATGAATTTTAACATTTCCCTGTGGCATATGGGGCAGTAGCATCGCATGATCAAGCACTAGTATTTTTCCCTGAAATGTAAGAACATTGTCACCAAGTGGGATGGGCACCACGGACCGCCTCCTGCCATTTCAGTCAAGTGACAAGTAAGTGTGGTGCCACCTTGCAAAGTACATTTTGGACTTCAGAGTTAAGGATAAGGGCTCATGGGAGGTGGTCAGGGTGACTTCTCCAGGTGTGTAGCTTAAGCGAGCATGTGGGTGATGATGCTGTGCGACAACCTAGGGAGCAGTTTCAGGGAGACAGTTGCTTCCTCCAGGTTGCTCTGGGGGCAGCTAGTTATACGGCCAAAACGTGAGAGGACCAGGAGCAGAGAGAAGTGAGCAGGGATGAAGGAGATTGTTTTACAAGCTGTTCTGTAAGCAGAACGACCTGTGGGCCCAGAAGAGATTGGGGGCTTGCAGATGCCTTGAAGGGAGAAGGCCTACCAGAGCTGCACCTTGGCTTCACACTCCCTGCAGGCCCGCTGTGCCCTGCTCCTCTGCTGCCTGCTAACACAGCCACAGTGCTGCAGCTCAGGTAAACCTGACTCCTCAATAGTCACCACCTGGTCCCTAGAGTTCCTAACTGTTAACCCACGGTTCAGACTTTCCTCCAGAACCAGCAGCAGGAGCCTTGACTTATGACCTGGGAGCACAGGGGTCTGCCTGGGCTTGATGACCCTGAAGTTCATCGTTTGTTGCTTTGGGCCTTTTTTTTGAAACCCTGAATCATAGTTGGGGAAGAAGGAGCCATAACGTGCACTATTCAGAGGTGTGTACTGTAACCACGTCTACTCTGTCCAGCCCAGCAAAGTCCACCTGGATGATTCTAACACAAGACAGAGTGGTGACATGGAGCTTTTTGCTGTGCTTGTATTTAAGTAGAAGGTGATTAAAGCAAGAACCAGGGGAAAGTTCAAAGGAATCAGAACGAGAGGGCATTATGTTGGCATCCAGGAAGAGAGGGAATGGTAAAATGGGATTGCCTTCTTAAATAAATAGCATATTTACAGTCCTCTCTGGGGGACCAGGGATTTAGCTCAGTGGTGCTCCTGCCTGACTCACAAGTTCAAGATCCTGAGTTTGATCCTGGTACCAACAAAACAAAAAATACAGTCCTCTCTGTTTGTCTTAGAAAGCAAAGAGACTTTTGAGAACTGGTTTCTTTGGAAGAGCCTTCCTTTACCCCTGCATCTGTTATTTTAGCTCAGCAGTGAAAGTGTGGACACAGAGATCTCTGAGAATCTTTCAGGGGCCAGTAAGGTCATTACTGTTTTCCTAATTAGACTACAGTGCTGTTGTTTTGTTCCCAAGGTTGACATTTGCACTGAGGATGCAAAAATCAACAGTGATAGCAACAGTGAGCTGCACCAATCCACATAAGAAGTGTGTCCATTGTTGGTAACAGAGGCAGGAGCAGACAGCCTGAGTTTGCTCATCATTCAGCACAAATTTGCTTTGAATGTGAGGCCCACTCTTGGGACCTGGGATACAAATGTTAACTAAACAAAATGCCCTGTCCTCATAGAGCTTGTGTTTTAGCAGGAGGAGGTGAAAAATGGTCAGAACAAATAAGTACATTACATAATGTGTTAGAATCTGATAACGGCTGTATGAAAATAGGAGTCTAAAATGGATCAGGGATAGGCCAGGGAGGCAGGGTGAACCAAGAGTGGCTACATTCAAGATGGGGACAGGTAGCTTCCTGGGGGAGAAGAAGCTGGGCACATACTGGAAGGAGATAAGGGACCTCGGCAAGCTGTTAACTGGAGAAAGATCAAGAGAACAGAAACACCACAAGGAAGTGTATATTTTTACTCAAATCTCCAGAAAGTCCAGTTCATGACTCCCGTATTGTAGGTGGATGAGTATAGAGTAGTTTTTTGTTTTGTTTTGGTACCAGGGATGGAACTCAGGTCCTTGAGTTTGTGAGGCAGGTGCCTGAACCACTGAGCTAAATCCCCAGCCACAGTGGGTGGATAAGTATAAAAGTAAAGTAGCATGAGGTTCTCTTTGATTGTCATATGAGACTACACATAGCCCCTTTGTCTTAAATCTGATCCTCTGCCTTCATTTTCAGATATTTAAAGATGTGGGATTCATTGAGTAAAAATAACAAGGACTTGCCTGGGGATTTAGCTCAGTGGTTCTGGCAACGCCTCGCAAGTGCAAGGACCTGAGTTCAATCCCCGTTACCAAAAACAAAGAAACAAACAAACAAGTATGATGGTGGTGGTGGCTGTGGTGGTAATGCTGCTGACACAGCGGTAAATCAACTCGTATTCACATCAACTGTTCAGTGTTAAAATCACGAATTCTGTCTTCATGTCAAGTTACTGTTTGTCCTAGGGTTCCAGCTGGCTTTCAGCCTTAGATGGAGTAATCCTAAACTGTAGGATTTCTGTAACTTTAATCACAGGTCAACACTGGACCCCTGCCTATCCTTTATGCCTAAAGTTACAAATTTCAGCCAGGGCTGGGAAAATGGACAATGAATTCCTTCTTTGGATAATGCAACAATGTAAGAACCTGAGTGGTTTCAGAAAGCCAAGGTCATTTTCAGACCCTTGGAGATATCCCTTCTGAAGTACCACTGCAGAGCTCACAACCTTGAATCTGAGACAGGAAGGCTGCCATTCCACTCGGAGTTGCCATTTTGTACATCTGTCCTATCAAAATGAGTTTAACTTTTAATAATTGACTGGATTCTTCTTTTTTTTTTTTGGTACCGGGGATCAAACTCAGGTCCTGTGCTTGTGAGGCAGGCGGCAGAACCACGGAGCCAAATCCCTGACCTTGACTGGATTCTTTTCAAGTGTAATGACTAACTCTTCACAACCTACTAGAAAAAGTAAACAGAGGACATGGAGGATCAAGATGAAAAAAAAAAAAAAAAAAAAGAGCAAGTCATCCTCCTATCATCACAGCGAGTAAACCATTGAATGATAGGTTTATATGTGCTTTGTTTGGTTTTTATAAAGTGCCTGCCACACCCCCTGCTTTTGCCAGGTGGCTTTTCTACTCTGCACAGAGCCTTTATTCAGTCTATGAAAATGATAGTTAACCTACATATCAGATCTATCTGGGGGGAGTGGTATGTGACTTCCTTAAACTATGCTGGGACCCACAGCAAAATTCAAATTCACACCATGAGCTTCCTTGGAAAATCTGATCTTTTCTTTTAAGACCCCATTTTTAAAATCCATGTGCAAAAATAAAGGAATAGTAACCTCCTCCTGTAAGCATATGACAGATATTGTAAAATTAATGAGAAACGTTGAACAGTGCTTTTGAACTTCGTTAGAAAAGAAATGCTAAATAAACGCAACCACTTTTCTCCCAATTAGTGTATGTAGCATGTGCTAATGCAGCACCTAATCTACATAAAGCAATTTTCTTTCATAAAGCAATCTCTTGCTTTTGTTTTTTCTAGGTCTTTTCAACTATTTCCTAAAATTTCTTCAGAATGCTTCAGTTAGTCTGTCTGGCTCCTCCTTCCCTTATAATACATGTAGGACACACAAGGTGATCCCTTCCTTGGGCTGGGTTTTATTCTCTGTAAGAATTTCCTGGGCCCAAAGCCACAGTGTCTACGATATGAGGGAAGCTTCCTGACTGCACAGGTGCTGCTGCTGTCTTACAGAGTTGTTCTGTCATCCTGAAGGTGCTAATGAATACGAGGTACTCGGAGAACTTCAGTGTACCTTAGAGATGTGAGGGCTTGTTTTGTGGTTCCATTTTAATCACAGGGTTAGTAGACATCTTCTTAATCCTTAGAGCAGTACGTTATGAAGCTCTTGGTTAAATGAGCCAAGCTTGCAGTAAGCATTTCTTTTAGGGGTGTTTTCTTAGCTGACGCTTCTCTCAGAAAGCTGCTTGTTTTAAACAGTAAGAAGGGAGGGTAGGGAGAAGGGGAAAAAATGAGAACAAGACCTGTCATGTAAAGGTACAAGATCCCAATAATGAAAGTAATTATACTATATACCTAAAAGTACCAATAAACTCAATTTTAAAAAAAGAATATATTATGAAAGTCTTCAGCCTAACTCACAAACATTTTGAAAAGATACTGATACATTTTGGTATTAGGTAGCTAGCCAATTCTGAGCCCTGGCTTCCATCTAGACAGAATACTGATTCTCCTTCATACTAACTTGGGTACTGGAAGCCTTATTTTTCCAACTTAGTTGGATGCTAAATCTGCTTTTAAAAGCGAAGTTAATATTCTTCTGTTCATTAGTCTGTAGATGACTTGCTTTCATCTGTTCCATCTTTGGAACCCATATAGAAGGAACCTAGGAAGCTTTTATGTGTGTACACTAATTATTTTTTGCATATGTATTCTTATAATAAAATCCATATTTTAGAAAGGCCACGAAACCAGGTGTTCTTATGAAATTTTAAGAGGCCTGAAAAGGGGGAATCATAAATTGGATCCAGCTTGGGCAACTATGTGAATTTAGCAAGACTCTGTCTCCTAGCAACAGAGGCAGCAAGAAAGGAATAAATAAGTAGGTCTGGGGATGCATCTCAGTGCAAAGGCCCTGGGTTCAATCCCCCATATTGTAGGAAACAAACAAATAAATAAATAGCCACATATACAAAAGGATGTTAAAAGTTTAAATTTCTCTCTAATGTTCCCTCTACCTCCTGCCCATCCATTTCTTTGCTTGCAGTTAGTTTGTGTATTTCCGGGGGTAACTACACATCCAGAGATAGAGGTCTGCAAATATACTTCTGGCGTCTATGAATTACACCTGAGTACCGTGGTGGTAAACCGATGGCACACATGGCACAGAGGGCACACAGAGCCTTCTCTGTTGGTACTCAAGACAAGTCACGCCAGCAGCCCAGCATTGGATAACAGCTGTTTTTTTCTAAACTAAAAGCTCAGTCTTCAGGTTTAATTGCAGTGATGGCACTCTGCAATAAATAAGTGGGTTTGAGGTTGTAGTTCTGGCCCTTACCCGTAAAAGGTTCGCTGTCACTGACTTAGCGTTTTCCCCTCGTGGGTTTCAGCGAGGGTTTTGTGGCATAGCTTTTAAGTAGCCTCATTCTCTCTAGCCGTTCTGTCTCACCGTGTGCTGCATTCTCATCCTTTAGTGGCATCCTTTTGTGGACATTTTGACTGTTTCTGTTGTTGTCATCACACAGTGCTGCGGTGAATACCTTCTTGTGTTTGCCATTTGCATGGGTGCCAGCAGACAGGTAGGATAAATTCCTAAGGGTGTGGCCCATGTGTCACAGGGCACTTGCCTTTGTGCTTTTGTTGGATCTGGGGGCAGCGACTCACATTCTGACAGTGTGCTCCTCGTCCTACAGAACACGCTTGTGTGACACATGCTTGCACTGTGACGATCTGAGACTGACAGCTCTGCACATCTCTTCCTGTTTCTGTCACTGCAGTCACCCTTTCTGTCAACTGTCTCTTCCTTCCTCTGCCCATTTTTTTTTTTTTTTTTTTTTTTTTTTTGGTACCAGGGATCAAACTCAGGTCCTTGCACTTGCAAGGCAGGTGGCAGAACCACTGAGCTAAATCCCTGGCCTTCCTCTGACCGTTTTTAATTGATCTTTACTCACTAATTTTAAGGGAGCCCAAGTATATCAAATAACTTTATCTATATGTCTTGAACAGGAGGTGTACACATTTTTCCTGGCTTATCTAGATTTTATTTCCTTGCAGTATTTTCATGTAGATGTTTTTCTTTTCCTTTCTCTTGTTTTGACTTCTATATGCTTGAATCTTTTCCTTTATGGCTTCTAGGTCATAGTAGAAATATCCACCCTGATTTTTGAAAGTGATTCTCTGTAAGTTTTCTTCTGCTTCTGTTTTTGTAAGTGTTCTTATTACCAACCCCCCTCCCCCTGCGTGCTCCACCCCAGTTCTCTGTCCTGGCCCACTGCTAGGTGACTGAGTAGGTGTGCCCAGTGCCGCTGCCATCTACTGGTGGGAATCTCAGCACTGTCCTAGCAATTCTTTGCTTGCTTTTCCTACTGGCACTGATAAAAATCAGCACCCAGATTGGAGATATTTTCTTGTGTGTCCACTCACTGGCCTGCTGCCAAAATAGGCTTGCCTGATTTCCACTTGTACGTAAGTGGAATCCTGCATTGTGTGCTTTACTGAGCTGATGTCTAAGACTCATCTGTGTCATGGTGTGAGATTTTAATTTGTTCCTTTGGTTTTCTAAAATAGAGATTAAGTTAGTTACAAATTAATTGAACAAGAATTGGTATATGTATGATGTTGAGTCTGCTGGGCTTACGACTTTCTATGCCCTCGAGTTTGTTTAAGGTTGTTTAAGGTCACCACTGTCTTACCTAGGTTCCATAGTTTCTCCGTGGTAGCTGGCTTTGGTTTGATCTACTGCTTTGTTTAAGTTCCAGGGTTCTGAGTGGCTGGTTTCAGTAGCTTTGCCTGTGTGCTCATGGACTTCGTGGGACAACGCAGCTACCAGCTCCTCCCTCTGTGACTGCTGCTCAGTGCCTAAAGGGTCTATTTTAAAGTTACTTTTTCTTTTTTTCGTCATTATTAAAGTGGAAAACGATGTGCCCATTTAATGTTTTGCCATTATTTAGTCCTTTTTAAAATCTGTGCACAAGTTCTTCACTTATTACCAAGAGTAGTCCTTGGTGTCCATTACTTCTGTTATGTTCTTCAGAGACACTATATAGGAGGTGAAGAAAACAAAAAAACTTTAAAAATCCCCAGAAAACACACGTAGGATACACACTGGTTACAAGACATGAATGAGATAATGAGGAGCTGTCATATAGGGGGCAAGCTTTCTGCAGTGTTGACATCACCGTTTCCAAGTCTTGACTTTGCACATTATTCACAAGGAACTCTGTTTGAAACAGTGTTTTTCTGTCACCTAGTGGTGCAGATGAGTAAAGGCCACTTCTCTTTTCCTTTTCTGATTCCTCACTCCCCTTGCCCTCCCTCCTCCTCTGTCCTCTCCTAATAGCCAGTGTCTTCTTCAAACTTGACTTTTAGAATTATAATATGTAGTTGAAAGAAATAAAATATATTACTTATGTTCTATGTTCGTGCTTAAGCAGAGCCAAGCACACTTGGGAGAGTATCATTCTACACAAAAAGAGTTTCCCTTTAACAGATTTCTTGTATTTGTATACAGAGTATGTTTGAATGTATGTACACACTTCAGAATCATCAAGCTGTGCTTTGTAATTAAAACCAGGACAATGGATGACCACTAAGAAAGCAGAGGGGAGGACAAGAATCATGTTTAAGTGTCTTCATATTAAAAGTTAATTGTCAAAATAAAGCCAGTTGTCAAAACAAACAATGCCCACATTTAGCTCCTGCCCACCCCATGCCAGGTCCCTCTCAGGGGAGGCTTACTTGGGCGGCCACTCTCCTCCAGTGCACACATTCTTTTTATACACATGTCACCATCTCCCACCCTCGAAGCTGCTGTGGTTTTGCCACCTTGGGTCACTCCCAGCGGCTGAGAACTCACCATTTTCAGTCTTTCATTTGGCCTCTTTTGGCATACATTAGGAGCTACTTCTTCCTCAACATGCTTCTCTGTGTGTTTGGCAATACCAGACTCCTCTCTTTTCTTTGTCTTCTCTTTCCTCCTTTTCCTCCTGCCCATGTACTTACTGCTCATATCTGTAGTAAGTAGATTGCCTCTTAGCTCCTTACCCTACAGGGCATGGTCATTTCCTTTCGTAACCCGGCTTGTGATCTCTCTCAAGTGCATGCATATGCATCGGACACCTCTCCTGGGCTCCAAAAACATACTCTATTCACTGCTCCTGAAAGTTCCCAGGGAACTCAGATTCAATGTGGACATTTTTTCTGCTAAACCTCCATAACTCAATTAATTTTATAGCATAGTCACCCCAACCAAGAACTGAAATCCATTAGGTACCTCATTCCTTTACCACCACATTGAATTGGTCCCTAAGCCTTAAATTACAGCTGGTCCTCAACACCATGTCCCTTTCTGCTGCCTCAGGTGCTCAGCATTCTCCCCTGTACCACCAAGGTGTCATGTCCTGGTGTGAAGCCTCCCAGTGCCTGCCCATTGCCTAGGACAAGATCTGAAGGACTCTATGCACTGGAAGCTGACTTCTGCATATCTTATTGAGTTGCCTACTGCCCCAGCCTCTCTCCTACCTTCTAGGATGTTAGATTATTGTGACATTTTCCCCCAACTTGCCGCATTTCCCTTTCCATATTGTATCTGCCTAGAGAGCCACTCACATTTATTTTTTTATTTTTTATTTTTTATTTTTTTTCATCTTTAATTGAGTTAATTGGTACATTTTAGGGATACAGTGCAGTTACATTTATTGTTGGGATCTTGTACCTCTACATGACAAGTCTTGATTCTCATTTTTTCCCCTTACCTCTGCCCTCCCTTCACCCCCTCCTCCCCTCCCCATCTACAAACACTTTATTTTCATCTTTTCATTCTCTCACATTTTTTTCTTTTCCCTTTTTTACTCTTCCCCTACCCATCCCACCTTCCCTACACCTTGAGCTCCTTTCTTCCCACTTCTAAATGTCAGTAATCTTATTAGAATCTTATGCATTGTTGCAGATTATTCACACCAGGGAAACTAGAAGATGTGGTTTTTCTATAAAATGGAATATTACTCAGCCATAAAGAACGAGAAAATAGATTCATTCATAGAAAAATGGATACATATTGAAGATATACTCCTAAGTGAAATAAATAAGTCACATATGTGTAAAAACACTGACATTTATAAAATGTGTCTGGAACGCGAATCTTCCCTGGGCTCTCTGACCTCTCCCTTCCTTTCATGTCTCCCATTCAGTGTTCCAGCACTTTCATGTACCTGGATTGATATACACAATCCTGTTGAAGCATCTAGCACATTTCATTGCAAGTCTCCTCATTATGATTTGTGAACATCTTCATGGTAGGGATCGTATTTATGTTTACTTTTTCATTCTTTGGCAAAATGCCTGGCATACAGAGAGTGCTCAATAAGTATTTGATGACTTTTGGCAGATGGACAAAGGCACTTCCCCAGGGCAGGAACTGGCCTGCCATATGGCCATTGTTCATGCACCCACGCCCAGAGAGGTGACCCTGAGAAGTGGGTCCTCAGTGTGGAGGATGGACTGTTTTGTGTTAAACACTGAGGAGACACACAGACACCTGGACCTCTGGGAAAAGAGAGCTGTGGCCTTAATTGACTTCCATTAGTCATTCTTAGATAAGAATACAGAACTGGATTTAGCATGGTTTGGGTCAAGGGCAGACACACTGAGGTTGTTGCTGTGATGCAGTGTTCCTCAATCCTCTGAGCCTCTCCTCAGCACAGGCTCCTCCTCCCCTCACTCCAGGATGGAAACAGGCGTGCCTTCTCCCTGCCTGGCCAAGGCAGCAACCAGCGATGCTGCTGCAGACCAGAACAAAGAAGCCAGGCTACCTACAGGGGGACGCATGTGAGAAGAGCGATGTTTGGGAAGATGAGGCATAACACAGGGCAAGCACGTTTGGGGACCACCGCGCCTTCCAATTTTTTTCTCAAGGCCTCAAACACAAGGCCTTCCTGTACTCATTCCTAAGGAAGTCATGTTCCCTTTCCAAAACCTACCCTCAGTAGAGAATCTGAAGGGCATCCACATGTAACTGTATTGTTTGTTTTAAATGTACCAATAAACTTAATAGGAAAAAAGAAAAGAAAACAAAGTGAAAAAAATCATATACATACAATAGCTGAAAGCTTATTAGTTCAGTGATTCCGTGTAGTGGGTCTTCCATTAGAATTAGTGTAATGTTTGGTTTAAATGGCCAACTGCTGCCTGAGATGGTCTAGAAAATATACAGAAACGGCAAGAAGATTAACTAAAACTTCTGAAATTAGTCAGGAGAAAAGGTCAGGGCGGAGGGGAAATAAAATCTCAGTGTGAATGGAGCAGGTAGATCTTGAGACTAGCAGAGTGCTGGAGTCCAGGAGATGCAGCGCCACTGACCGTGGGGAGGAGAAATTATAAGTGCTCTGGTAGGATCTTGAGTTTGAGTACATTCATTGGTGCAGGAAGCATATAAGAACCAGGCCAAGGAATGTGTCTTGGCCTCCCCCGTCCACAGGAAAACACTCTTGAGGAGGGTCGGGGAGAAAGAGAGGGAGAGCCTCGGAGGCGAAAGGGGAGGCCCGGGGCGTCTGCTCTCCCTCGCAGCCCCGGGGAAGGGGCGCAGGCGCGGGGCGGAGCCTCGGGAG